GAGAGGCGAGTGCTTCTGTCTGACATCTCAGTGTGTTTTTATGTACAGCTTGCAATGTGGGAGATGTAATAATAACAGTGACATTAACTGGCAAAGATAATGTTGTTTTTTTCAGCATCTCAATAAAAACAGCAGTCATCAGAAGTAAACCGCTAAGATGACATGTGAATCAAATCAAATCAGGTTTTATTTATAAAGCACATTTTAAAACGATTTTTGGTCGAGACCAAAGTGCTGTACATGCAAATAATAAATAATAATAACACATTACTACATTCGCAAAGAACAGAAGACAATAAATTCCCACAACAAATATAAAAATCCAACACAGGGAATTGTCCGTAGTCCTACTCTGCTCGGACTAGAATGCCAGGGAGAAGAAGTGAGTCTTTAGTTTTGTTTTAAAAACCCCTAGAGTCTGGGCCGACCTCATATGGAGGGGCAGAGTGTTCAAGAGCCTGGGACCAGCTGCTGCGAAGGCTCGGTGCCCTCGGGTTTTGAGCCTGGTCTGGGGCACTACCAGCAGTAGCTGGTCAGCAGACCTTAAGGCTCTGGCTGGAGTGTAGCGCTGGAGGAGTTCAGCTATATAGGCCGGAGCCAACCCATTTAGTGCTTTAAAAACAAATAAAAGGAGTTTAAAATCAATTCGGAACCGAATTGGAAGCCAGAGCAGTGAGGCCAGAATTGGGGTGATGTGGTCACGCTTTTTGTTGCCAGTAAGAAGACGTGCAGCGGCATTCTGCACTAGCTGCAGGCGTCTAATTGAGGCCTGGTCCATACCCATAGTGGACTCCGGAGTTTGCTGCATGAGTTGGACTGTATGTTCTGTGGTGTAGTGGGCTGTCACTCAAAAACTGAGTAGCCAATCGGGACACACCCGTGAAAGTCCCGCCCACCTGGGAAGTTTGTGTCAAAATTGCAAATAAAAAATGAGGGAGCTCAACCGAAAAGTCTGATCATTGAGGAAGAAGAAACAATAACTGCAAACAAAAACCTATGTTAAAACAAGGAAAAAATACTTAGTTTACATGATTACACAAATGATTTGTTTGCAACTTATAGTTTTATTTTTGAAATGTATTTTATTTTGCTTGAGTCAGTTTTTTTTTCTTTTAAACTCATAGTTTTGCTTTATTCTGAGAAAGTGTTGCTCTGGCTTTATGATACAAAACTAATCCCATAGTTTCTCTTCCTCCCCCCCCCCTGCCTGAAACGCCTCATTTGTAGTCCTTTTTTTATTTCTGTAACATAGTGACATCACTATGTAACACTCACTCTCTTATTTGCTAGCGCTCCAACACATTGTAGTTGATAGGCTAAAGGGGCTGGACATCTCTGACCGATTCATCAATCACAACAGAGCCGGCCAGCTAACCAATCAGAGCAGACTGGGCTCTGGTTTCAGACAGAGGGTGAAAAGAGGAGCTGCAGCACAGGCAGTATGAGAGAAATTGCACATACAGTTTAAACTAAAATACTTTTTATGAATTACTTTTTTTTATTTTCATGAAATACTATAATATGACTTTTAAAAGGCATACTTTAATATGAGTTTTGTATTTCCTATCATGGCATACTAGGATATTTTAATGACATCAATAATGAGCAATAATATCACTTTTTTTATTGGCTGAGATTTTTATGTCATGTTTACATATAATGGTAAACTTCACAATGTATTAAATTACATTTAAAGATTACATTTATAGATTAGTAAAGTAAATAAATTGCAGAAGATGAAACAAAACTCTTCAATGACATTTATTGAAACATAGTTCGATTCTTTTTGATGAATTTCAATTATATTACTTTTTGTAAGTTCATTATATAAACCTTTTAGTGCCTCTATGCCTTTTAGGACATTTGTTTGACATGCACTTTTCTGTATCCCATACTAAACCATAACATTTTTGAGACAAAAATATTCTGCAGTATATACAAATAAAATGTAAGAATAAATATACATACAGAAATCTCAAAGGACTATGACTGGATGTAAAACCAGCCAACCACGCACTGACGAGAAACTTAAATAATAAATAATTGTATTTGTATTGAGTGTGCGGGGGTTTGAATATTCTATATTAAACAAAGGAATCTCTCCCCCCCCAAAAAATACATAAAAAAACATTTAAAGAATAAAATATATTTAAATTAAAGAAAAACATTGAAAGAGATAAAAAACAATAATATTGCATCCCCACTTGCAAAACAAACAAACTAACAACACAAAGAGCTGGGTACAAATTGTGTATTTTCGTGTTTTATGTTTCCAAGTGTGGCTTTAAATTCCACCCACCTGATTGGTTGGAATCCTCATGGCGGAGAGCTGGAGGTTGACGCTGTCCAGGAACTCAAAACGCGACTCGTCATAGAACAGCGCGCAGCCGTCGGGGCCGTTGTTGCCATCCACATCCAGACAGGGGGACCAGGGCTTGGGGCAGAAGTTGCTGCTGTAGCCCAGGCCTGCGAGGACCGGCTGGAGGGTGTCGTAGTAGTGGTCCACTTCCTGCAGACACAGTATGTGAGGGCGGTAGGTGAGGATCTCCTCTAAGATGAGGTACTTCCTGCGGGACCAGCTGAGGGCCTCCGGGGGACACTGGACGAAGCTGTCAAGCCCCTCGCCAAGAGCTGCCAGACGGGGGGAGGGAAGAGTATTAGGGTGGAGATAACCTGGAGGAGCTGAACAACAGTTAGCCAGAAAGGGGCCAAATGCCACAACTACCGTCACAAACTGGATGAATGTGAAGTATTTTGTTAAAGGAGGATGAAAGCGTAATTAAGGAGCACTATTGGAGTGACTTTGATTGGTTATTGGACTCAGAAATCATTTATTTGGATTCCCGCTGTATGAAGAAATTAAAGGAGGGAAACAATTCACAAAGGGATTAAACTGTTTAAAACACATGCTCAAAGTAAGCCGGATTTTGCCGATGTGTTTATGTGGATTCAAAAATCGTAAATAATCTACAAAATGGAGGAGACCCATCTGATCGGAGCAACTGACAAATAATCCAACTGAAACCGGAATGGACAATGAATATGTTTTAAAAATGCGCTTATCCTGAAAAGCCTGGTTTGGACACTTTACGGGCAGAAGAAACATTTCTATTAAAGAAAGAATTATACATTGCTGTCTTTTTATGCCTTTATTACCAACTTGAATTTTTATTAAAATTAATTAGCCAATTATTTTTTATATTTTATTGTAATCTAGAGACAAGGCTTTTAGTGACAATCATGTATTAACTTACAATTATATGTAAAAAAAGAAAAGAAAAAATGGCTAAATATGATATTTGGCCTCAAATCATCTGAGGCCTGGCGCCCCCCTGCGATCTTTGGCGCCCCCCAGGTTGGGAACCACTGAGTTAACCAATCAGAGCAGACTGGGCTCTGGTTTCAGACAGAGGGTGCAAAGAGGTGCTGCAGCACAGGGCAGCACATGAGAAAAATAAAGAGTTTTTTGAACATTAAAGAATGGAGACATGTCCCAGGAGATGAACACAATACAGATATGAACCTGCAAATGAGCACAATGTGTTTCTACCATAAAAGGATGTTTTGTTAAGTCTGTAGAATATGATTAGTAGGTCTCAGTATTGTGCCTCATGCTATTTGAATATTACACAAGTCCATATAGCGATTTTGATAAGAATAACATTAATTGTGCAGCTCTAACCCCAGTTCAGAATTGATCCAGAGTTTTTAATCCTGCAACAAGTTTTTTTATCCATGGATTACTTTTTGAATATTCATTTTTTATATTTGCGGAGAGCACTAAACTTTCAATTACTGATGGCTAAACTGTCCCCAGTAAAGAAAAAAAAGAAAACAAGAAAAGGGAAATCAGCAGAAGAAGGCAAACAGGAAGTAAACAGGGAAATGGTTTGGGCTCTAGCAGTGTTTAAGGTCTGGTTAATGGTAAGGAAATGTAACAGACTTGGACAATTACAGAAAACCTCGAAAAGTGCTGCCTTCATTTTAAGTTGTTGTCGCACCAGTTCTAGCTGTTGGTACGCAGTGCAACGGATAATTTTAAACAACTTTCATTTAAATCAATATTTTGGATCAAGTTGTTGTTTTATTTAGTATGTCATCGGTAATAAGCAGGAAAAATAACACCTTTGCCCTCTGGTGTTCGCTTTTCATCAATGAGCGCCTCAATGCCCATTATCCCTTATATAACTAACAATTTCGGTAAACACAAATCAATTCCATGACCCTGGGAACTGTATGAAGCTGGATTTTGTCTGTAGATAAATCTGAGCCTAAACTCCAGTGTGTGTATTATTCAGGCTGAAGCAGTGTACCTTGGGCCAGTATGTTCCACTGCATCACCCTGATGGAGTTGCTGGGGGCGCCGCTTCCATCCGGCAGCTGAGTGAACTTCCTGTGGAAGCGAGGCGCTCGGCCCCTGAGGGCCTCCTCACACTGTCTGAGCAGCTCTGCGGGACACACAGGGGCCCCCTTCTGCTCCTGCAACACACACACACATCACTGCTGTGACACCATTCTTTTTTTTACCAGCTTTTTATAAATGTTTCCAGCCATCCATATAAGATGAAACAAACATACAGAACATTTAAATATACAAAGAACCTTACAAGCTAATAAACTAAAACACTCAGGACAATTAATATATGAAAATAATATACTACACACTACAGTGTATTGTACTTTAAAGTGGAGGGCGGGTTGTGCACAAATGTGTATTTAGAGAGCTGAGCATGAGCATTCCTCACAGAATAAGATAAAAAATACATGTTCTTTTCCCTAATCATCTTTCCACAGAACAAGGCAAACGTATGTCTCTACGTAATATTTGACATGAAGTATAGAACCAGCTCTTTTAATAGGCTGTAATGTTTCTTCTCTAGAATTGTTTACAGATTGACAGTTTTTAAACTAATACACTGTGAAAGGAAGATAATAATGCATTGACTATGGAAGAGAATCAGGGCAACATGTGACTCTTTTCTTGAGATCTCACCAAAAGTGATGATTTTTCTTTGTTCTGAGATTAAAGTCACAATCCTCAGGATTCTGACCTCTTGACAATATTCTCCTTATCTCCAGTTATTATGTTCCAAATATCTGGAACAAACTCCCAGAATCCTGTTTTAAAACCCAGGCTGAAGGCTTTGCTTTTTGCTTTTAAATTAGACTGCACTGTAACTTTTACTCATGTATTGTATACCTATGTTATCTATTTTATCTTGTTTTGTGTTTGTTCTATTCTCTTTATTCTTAATGTTTTTCATTTTTTGTAAACTTTTTGAATTGCCTTGGGTTGAAAGGTGTTATTTAAATAAACTTGCCTTATCTGACTTCTCCCTCCGTATCCGACCTCCTTCTCCGTAACTGATTTGTTTCTCTGTGTCTGAATATTTTCTCTGTATCCGACTTGTTTCTGCGTATCTGACCTCTTTCTCTGTATCTGAAATTGTTACCAGGAGTTTGACTTTTTTTCTCTATATCTGACTTTTTTCAGAATTCTGACTTTAATCTCAGAACAAAACAAAAAAATGAACTCATGGTCAGATCTCAAAGAAATATTTCACATGTGGCCCTTACCTTTATCAACAAATAGTATGTATGCAAAAAGTTAAATGTCATGAATCATCATTTAGCAGAACAATGTTTTGGAGGCACAGTATCTGTGCCCCATTATGTCAGTTACTATGTCAATAACTTGCCTACAAAACTGCTGACAGCATTTACTGACTCACTTTTTGTTTATATTTGCACAGTGAGCAGAGGAGGAGGAGCCACTGACCTGACAGAATGCTGGATCCAGGTTTGTGACTGCAGGCGGGGGGAAAGCAGAGCTGCTGAGGGGCGGAGTCAGGGCGCTGTACAGCCTGGTGGCCCCCCCACCCATCGGACACACTGAGAGGAAGAACAAGATGGTGAGGTGTGTGAGGAGGATGGAGACAAACATTCAGCATTTTGTAACTTTAATGACACATTGGTGGATCGTCAAAAATGTTAACACCTCCAGTCTATTCAACCAAGTAGTTTTGTGTTCATGCGCTCAAACCGAAATAACTTCCTTGTTACTCAAAGTAACATTTAAAATAACATTATTCATTTACACAGGATCTCCCGTACAGACAGCCATAAGTACTAACACTAGAACTCAAGGTTAGAGAAACGCCCTCTGGTGCCAACTTTGGGATTTTAGCCTTTGCAGACCATTTACATGCACAAAAACCTTTATAACACATTACAAGGAATATTAATACTATGTTGTATAATGTTGATAACAATGCTTTTCAACACTGATACCATACAGTTTGTAAACCAGGCAGCAAATGAGAACAGCACTTTAAGGAGGCAACTTTCAATTTGAAATTGTAGGTTTACAGATTGGAAGTTTGCCGAGGTCACACCCTGATAGTATCCATGCCGCACACACACGCACACACACACCATGTTTGTGTAGTTAATGCTTCCATGACTACTAAACACAGCAGCTGTTTGTTTGTAAGGACTTTGAACTAAAGTAGGTCAAAGCAAAGTGGGTCAAATTGGCTGGTCGTTTGCCAAAAGGCATCAAACATGTTCCACTTCAAAATGTAGCAGACAAATAAACAACAATACAAATACCTCAGCTGAACTTAGACTCAATGTTATCAACAGAATTGCGACTCTTATATTGATGATAAAGTAAGGGCCAAAGATTATTACTGTATTACATTTGAGCCATAATCTGCTTTTCATAATACACCACTGTATATATTGTAATATACACAAAGCATAATGTACTACTTCATACTTCTTATGTTCAAATACATATTTATATATATAGAGCACTGGGAAAGGCGCTATGTAAATATTATTTATTATTATTGTTTTTTAAAATATTTGTATTGCCCAATTTTACTTCTAATGTTCATTTTAATATTTATATTCTATTATAGATTTTACTTATTTTAAATTCAAATGGAGCAACTGTCAACTGTGGGAAAGTACTAAATCTGATTTCTAAAAGCAGACGTATTTATTTTATCAATACAATTCCAGAGAGAGCCATAAGTGGAAGCGTTTCTATAATGGAAAGCCACAAATATGGCTTTTTAAACTGAGAAAACCAAACTGCCAACTCCTCTACGCCACAACTATTGGACTACAGAAGGTCACATCCCGTTCAACCACTGATGTTCAGGATCAATCCAGTTGTGTGCGATTGAGCCAAACAACCTCTGTGACAAGATCCAGCTTCCAATTCTTCCCAAATGTACGTCATAAATCTTTCTGTTAATCATTATATGGGTCTATGTTTATCCATATACACCAGCCAGACCCGGGAATTAAATAAAGTAACAGCACCACCATAAGTCAGAAACACAGTACAGCTGATATGATGCATCCAAATAATCAGTAAAAGAAAGAATAGCTGCCTCTTACCAATAGTGTCCATTATGTCCACGGCTATGTCCACTCTGAACAGAGTTTGTTTTGAATGCCTCCTTTTAAACACCGGTAATACCCTTTTTAAAGACAAGGTTTGTTTACTGGTTTAGGTTTCCTGCCTGAGCTGAAAAGGTTTTCTCTGAAACTGAAGACAGATGTGTATTTGTTTAAAAGAATGCCCTTTCACGGTTCACTGCTGCCTATAAAGCCTCGGGGAGGACAGGGGAAAGAAAGAGAGAGACTAGGAAGTACGTCACCACGCCATATGGAGCAATTCACGTCATGTGCTAGTGAGGGAGAGAGGGATTCACTGCACAATCCAAACGGCAGCTCTCTCACACACACACAAGCTTGAGTGTGTGCAGAGTTGTTACGGATACACACATATTAGGTCGTCTCACCTTTGCCCAAACAACAAGCAAAAGCATAAAGTAACATGGAGTCATGCCCTCACAAACACACACATTGCAACAATGATTGCATGACTAAACCAATCATGAGTGTGTGTGTGTGTGTGTGTGTGTGTGCGTGATTGTGTGTGGTTTGTAACAATGACTTCCTTGTCACGACACTGAGGTCACTTTGATCGCAGTTTACAGTAACTTGTGTTACATCAGAGTGTAATGTTCTTTTCCATGTGCAGTTGACTTATTAGTTATACTATTTTGGTTCTCGGATCAAAATTTATTGAGCTATTTCAAAACTGTGGTTCAAGGCTCCCCCTCCCGGGTTACTGATTAAAACAGTGTTTTAAGTTTTTTAAACTAAAACATTTAATTTGAAATCAATAGGAGAAACTCCGTCTAGAGGGAACTTTGGGATTTTAGCCTTTGAAGACCATTTACAAAAATACAGGGAAGGGAATACTCTAAAAAACACAACAGGGCCTCTTTCATTGAATTGTCTTTTTGTTAAATTGGGTAATTAACACAAAAAACAAAGATGGGGAATAACCCTTTGTGTATGTCATTTGTAATTTTCCCATTTTAAGAACCACGTAAAGCCTCCAGCTGTTCCTCTTGTTTAATACAACACATTGCTCTTGTGTGTCCTTGCTGATCAAAATAATGTTTGTCAAGCAGAAACAAAGCTCCTATATTCCTCTCTATCCGGATCTCTTAAACCAACAGAATGGAGTCAGGGAGCGTTCCACCGTGTTGCTCGGACGTCAGCGTGTCAGCTCAAAGACCAGCGCACATTACAGAGATCGAAAAGCTCTGCTGACCTGTGATGGTGACTCATGTCTGAACACGCAGGTCTGCATAGTCTCCAAACATTAACAACGAGTCACAACCCGCCCGCGTTAGACGGAAACACAGGATTGTTACAGAATAGATGTTTTTTTAAAGAAGTTGAAGATAAAACACCTTTCAAAAGCGCCTGATTTACAAACAGGGGGAATGTGCATTCATTGATATAGTGTGTGTGCTACTGTGAGGGCAGCGTGACTCATATCCCATAGACAATCTATTGTGGCTCCAGGCAGAATAATTAACTGTAGTGGTGTGTGAGCGTGTATACGTGAGTGTGTGTGTGTGTGTGTTAAGATATCCTTTAGTGGCATATTGACATTTCCACATTAAAGGGCAGCTGCCACATGATATTCAAATGTGGGTTTTTGTGCGCATGCGAGTGTGTGTGATGTTCTCCCCATAGGTGAAACTATTTACAAGTGATGTGTGTGCATTTGTGTTATCAAATAATAATACCGTATTTAAAAAAAGATACTTACTTTTTCCCCATTTGAAAAATACATTAATGAAGGGCCATGTGCACACACAGAAATTGAAAAGAGAATTAATTTGAGAGTTCTAAGCAAATTAAGTAATTCTAACTAACCAATATCTTCCATTTGGACTCCTTTTATAAGCTTGATCCCAGCAATGTTTTCCTTCATCTTTCAGTCTAAAGGCCTATCATGACTACTGCTTGTTTTGTTTTCTCCTTTATACTTCCTGGTAACGAAGATTCTCACTATATCACATGAGTGCATGCTCCGAGTGTTAATAAAGGTGTTTGTGCTTGTTTGTGTGTCTTATGATGACTATGACTGATCTATTCAACTTGTGCAACAGATGGGTGTTTATGGGATGCTTAGTGGAATTGTAATATAATACTGAACTTTGTCTCATTTTTTTTATTTGATAAATACAAATAATTTTTATTATGATGGCGTAACTATTTTCTAATAATCCTACCAAGTGAAGGCCAGAATGCATTTTTCCCTCAAGTTGTTATACATTGTATCTTTTTCCTTTTTATGTGTAAATAAAGAAACTACATTCACACCAGCCTTATATAGTCCGGTTGAATCGAACCCTGGTGCGTTTAGCCACTTGGTGCGGTTCGTTTGGGTTGGTGTTAATGCAGTCCGAGACCTCTGAAGTGAACTAAACAACCGGACTCCTAAAAGAGGTGGTCTCGGAGCGCTGCTTGTGAATTGTCCGACCGGCCCACTTCGGTACCGGCCCACCGGGAAAACTCCCGGTATTCCCAATGGCCAGTCCGCCATAGGCGGCGCTGGGGGGTGCTGAAGCTCCCCCTAGGATATCCATAGCACCCCCCAAGCACCGCCAATAAATGTATGTGTCTTTTTTTATTTTTACGTGTGAAATTCATAGTTTGAAAAATGATTGATTCGAAAAAGATATGCCACAGAACAAGTACTTCTGGGTCTCTGTGCTTCATTCAAGCTCAGCTCTGTGTGTGTGTGTGGCAGGCGCACATTTAGTGTGATTAAGCGAGAGAGAGAGAGCTCACCGGTGCCAGGGACCGTGTTGTTAGCATCTGTTTAGCTAGCTGCACTAACGGACATAAGGAGCTGTTTGTTCCACAACAAGCTGGAGGAGAGTCCTCTCCTGTCAGACTGAGAGACTCAGGTGAGCTAAAGGACTCTCTGAGTGTTTAGATAGTTAACTTTAGTCTAAGTTATCTCAGTGGCTCTCAAACGGTTTGGTCAAGATTTATGTAAACAATTATTTCCGAGGCACACCTTTATATGATCATTATAGTTATAAAACAATAAGGGAATAAATGAAAAACAGTTATGAAATACTATATGACAGTAAAACAAGAATACAGTTTAAAAGGAGAGTGATTTGTAAAATATCCATAAAGAAAAATAAATCTGCTTACAGTTCTGTTTCAAATGGGTGTTGAGAGATGTATCCATAGATCTCTTA